GCTTAAGTGGGATCAGCAATTGCCAAGTCTGAAAACAAACTCCTGCTCTTGCTTACAAACCTTGTAAGAAAAACAAAAAAACAATGCTCTCTTCCAGCATGACTGTCCTATGATTCATCACAGAAATGAATTTGCTGGCTTCCTGTCAGACAAATCTAGCCGTGTGTGTGTGTCACAGTGACAGGCCTGGCTGCTGAGAAACAGGGCCCGAGGGCACCGGGGAGCTGGCCTAGTTCTGGTCCACGACCGCCCTCACTTTACAGATAAGGCAGACATCATCTCCTGGTTTCCATATCATTTCTTTGATAAACCACACAAATATCTTTAACAGATGCACAGCTGGAGAGATGGTGAGGTGAGGACAGTTTTCTCCAGCGTCAGGGAGCCACACACATGGTGTTGAGCAGAGAATGACTGTCCCTTGACCCTGACCACTGACACTTGACCTCTGTGTCTGTGAGAGCACGTGGCTAACACTGGTAAGGAAAACCAGCTTGAGGGGGGCAGGAAGTGGGGACAGAGGGTCTCCAGCACTTACACTCACTCACGGGGCACCTACCATATGCCAGACACTGATCTAGGCACTTAGATATACAACAACAACAGAAACCCAAAGATTCATGCCCACACGAGAGATTACACCCTAGAGGAGGAAAAATAAGCAGTGCAATATAGACATGAAAAAATAGGTAAATGAGCCCTGGCCAGTTTGCTCAGTGGTTAGAGCGTCAATCCGTGGACCAATGAGTCACGGGTTCGATTCCAGTCAAGGGCATGTACCTCGGTTGCAATTCATCCTCGGCCCTGGTTGGGGTCGTGCGGGAGGCAACCACTCGATGTGTTCCTTTCACGTCAATGTTTCTCTCTCTCTCTCTTTCTCCCCCTCCCTCCCACTCTATCTGATCAAACATGGAAAAATGTCCTCTGGTGAGGATTAAAAAAAAAAAATAGGTAAATGACAGATATAGAGCAGTGGTTCTCAACCTTCCTAATGCCGCGACCCTTTAATACAGTTCCTCATGCTGAGGTGACCCCCAACCATAAAATTATTTTCGTTGCTACTTCCTAACTACAATTTTGCTCCTGTTATGTCTTAAGCGACCCCGAGGGGTCGTGACCGCAGGTGAGAACCGCTGCTACAGAGGTGATCAGTGCTATGGGAAGGAGGCAGAGCAGGGAAGAGCACTGTAAGTCCTCAGGAAGAGGCTGCCGCTGTCAACAGAGAGGTCGGGGGCTGCACTGAGAAGGCCGCAGCTGAGAGACACCTGAAGCAGCTGCTCGGGGGCATCTGAGGGGAAAGCATCCCAGGCAGAGGGAACAGCAGTGCACAGGCCCTAGTGCAGGACAGTGGCACGAGCTGAGTGACTTCCTGAGGCCTGCTCTGGCCGCTGTGCTGGGAACAGGCTGCAGGGGCAGACGTCAGAGGCTGCTCCGACGCGCAGCCAGGCGCCAGAAGGCGGTGGCTGGAACCAGGGTGGCAGCATGGCGATGGGCAGGGCGAGAGGACAGCTCAGATGTTCTGAAAGCAGAGTCAAAGTGCCTGCCTGAAGGGACAGCGTGGGTGAGAGAGAAGGGTAAGAATTGACCAGCAAGAAACCAAACAAAGGACACCCTCTGACATCCAGTCCGGGAGTCTGGATGGGAACCAGCTGCCAAGAAAGGCTTTTCTGCTAAGTGCCATCGTACGCAGGGGGTTCCGAGCAGGGCCTGCAGGACCCCAGGCCGACTCCAAGGAGTGGGGGCTACAGAAACGAGGTGCCGGCCAGACGCTTTCCCAGGAACGGATATCCAGTTGAGAGCGCTGACCCACGCACCATCAGAGAGGAAATCCAGAGCTGAGCGAGCTTCAAAACAGGAAAGAAGAGAAAGAGTTTGGGGCCAAGAGGGGTGACTCTGAGGAGAGATCTCAAAAGCAATTTAAAATATATGAAGGGTTTTTCTCACATGCACTGGGCTGTCCTCAAATCCCAGGGCAGAAGATACAGAACATCCTTTCGTCCGGTGGGTGAGGGAGGTGTGTGAGACAAACAGAAAAATCTTCTAAGTGTGTAAGTTGTGACATCTTGGTTTTTTAGATCGGAGGAAGGGGACAAGTGCTTGGGGTCTCAGGATCCTTCGTGTCACTGTGTGCCCGGGGGAGGGGTGAAATAGATGCTCTGCTGGGATCTGTCCTGCCCGTGGCACCTGACTTCATTGTGTGCATTTGCCAAAAACAAAAAATAACCAAAAACTATGAAATGTTATAAATAAGAGCACACTGTCCACACCAGCCAGAAAGAACACAGGCATTCTCCTGAGCTGTGTGAGACTGAATTAGTAACAAATCGAGTGCTACCCCCCACCCCTGCTGACTTCCAGGCGATGACACAGAAACCAACTTTGTTCTTTATTTACAAAGAAACCCCAAATGCTTCACACATCTATTTTTAAAACTGAAAACAGACAATGCTATTCCATGAATATGTCCCTCTGCTGTTGGCACTGGGTTTGCATCTTCTTGTTGGTGGACCTGCCAACCTCCTCTGCTCTGGGAGACCCCTGCCCCAGGACCTCTGTCAAAACCTCCCCATGTGTGTGTGCAGCTCAAGTCCCTCTGGTCCTGACATCATGGTGAGGCACCCCTCCCCCCCCCGAGACTGCGGCCTGGACGGGATTCTCGTCCTTCCCTTCCCCAGAGCTCACCGTCTCATCTCTGACTTCTTCAGAGTGGGGCCACAGCTTCTGTGATGGAAGTCTATCAATTCTACACGATGCTGGGTAGCAGGGGGCACGTTATGCACCTGTCACAATTTTATGCATCAATAATGTTCTAAAACTGCACCTTCAGGGTGCATAACTGTACGTTTATGAAAAAGAAGATCACTAAATCATACATTTCAAGTGGGTAAATTTTATGGTGTGCAAATTACACCTTAATAAAGCTGTTTTAAAAAAATCAACACCCACATCTCTGCAGATGTTCCTGTTCAGCGCCAGACGCCGGGTGGAGACCTGTGTTCTCTGCACACGAACCATTTCCACATCCCGTGTGGCTCACGAAGAGGCTGGAACAGAGACTCTGCTGAGGGAAGGACTGAGCCAGGGCTGCCTGTGGAGGGGCCTGGTGGGCTGGGGATCCCCAGAGGGCCGCAGGAAGTGGGACACTGACAGGGACTGGGAAGAGGAGGCATCGATAGGAAGGTAACCAAGTCATGTAGTATGATGAAGTGACGGGGAGGACAAGTGTAATATTAGGTTGAACCGTACCCCCTGCCATTTTTGTGGGTCAAAGTGGTTGAACGTGGGCAGTCATACACGTCTGTGTGTCATACGAACACGGAGCTCAGGCTCAGGGGCGAACAGAGCCAATTTCCAGTCGGCACCTCTGCTATGGGCTGAGTGACCAGGGGCTGTCACCTCAACTCGGTGAGCCTGTTTTCTCATCGGTGACCGGCTATGGCAGTCACATCCCAGATGCACATTCTCATTTCCACTCTTTAACATGTATGGTGTCCACCACATGGGGGGCTCACCAAGGGCTCGGGCACGGAGAGTCCCTCCTCCCGCTCCTCGGCCCTGCTCGAGGCCCCGGACGCAGTCATCTCCACATCGGACGCGAGGGCAGAGCTGAGCCTGAACCACCACCCCCCTCGGCACCTTTCTCCTCTGTCCCCTTACCAGCCCCCGTAAGGAGGGAAGGAGCACAGTTCTGCTCAGCAAAGCAGACCCCCCCTTTCCTGAAGTGACTACAGAAATCACAGGAGTCCCAGCTGTCCCCAGCCCAGGCCTGCACCTGCATCTTCTGTCTGGGAAACCATGAAACAAAGCCGGGAAACAACTGGCCCGAAGGCAGAGCAGGAAGCAGACAGGAGGCAGACCAAGGCTCCCCTGACTTCTGCGTGCAGTGGGGAAGGGTGTGCATGGCCAGGGGCCACCAGGCGGGCAAAGCCAGCGTGCAGGGGTGCGAGGGCTACTGGGCAGCCGCGCTGAGGACTAACCAGAGGTCGAGAAAACCTCTTCCTTTTGGCTCATGCAGAGAAAAGGCAGACGGGTCAGCCAGCTGGGGCTCAGGGGGAAGCCCTCCCCAGCAATGTGATTTAATGCTCAGCCACACCTGGCCCGGTGCCCCCGAACTGCTGCTGCTGGTCTCAGGGCGAGGACACTAAGCAAGAACTGCTCCTCTATGAGTAATGTCCTTGGCTGGTCCTCGGCGCACGCTCCCTGCCGTCTCAAGAGCTTTAGCCACTGTCACGTGGACAGGAGCAAGGATGGCCAGACAGTGTGATGAGGCGGTGGCAACAGAGGGCAGCTTAGTCCCTTCTGTCGAAGCCTTGGCAGACACTCCCTGCCCTGCTCCAGAAGACCCAGAACACCACCAGGGTCTCCACTGGGGCACACGAATCCCTGCCAGCGAGGCGTCTGTCCCTGCGGCCTGCAAGCTGACGCCTGGGAGCCACAGTGCAGGCCGACGCCCTCCACGTGGCCGGGAGGAGATCCACCCCCGTCTAACTCACCGAGGAGCTACCTGACAAGGACACATTAAGCTCTGACTTCCTGGAAGACCCCCAGGAGCACATTTCATCCGGTCTCTCAGTCACGCCGAGTGTCCGAGGCGAGGACTTGGGACCCTCGCCCTCTCGGGCCTCAGCGTGCCGCGGGGGCATGAGAAACAGAATGACAGGACTGCCTGGTGAGACCCACCACGGACTAATCGAAGCATCACAGAAACCCCACATTCCCCGAGCAGGAGAGGCCGGAGCCACCATACAGGCCCCTGAGCCCGTCGCAGCAGTGGCCCTGCCCGCCCCGCCGCCAACCCAGGGGCTCGAGGATCCCTTCTTACGGAAGAAATGTGCTCCTGGCTTCATGCCTCGGGGTAATAAACCCGCCCTTCCAAAGCCCCCCGAGTGGTCACGTGCCCTCCCTGCGCTGGCTCCAAGCTGCCAGCCAGGGCCCCGTGTCCAACAGCTGCCCAGAGCCAGTGGCATCAGCCAAGCACCCCGGGGGTGGCTTTCACTCACCAGACAGCGGGTCTTTGCCAATCAGCCACACATTGGGCAAGTTCATTATGATCAACTGTTGGAGAACTTCCTACAGAAACAAACAGGAAAAGATACCATTAAGAACAGAAAACAAAAATACAGAATGATTAAGAAAATGACAGTTTATCAAGTTGCTGCATGAACGTACACGGTACCTAGAAACATACTATATAAGAGGGAAGGTCTACTTAGGACGTAAACGAATGTGAAAAGTCCAACTTAACTGTACTTTTGCCTTGATCACAACCAAATAAAAAGTAAGTCTGCATCTGTACAGAGACCTTGGGACGAAGACGCATTACATGCCAAGATAGCAGGATCAGGTGTGAATTTCTTTTTAAAACATGCTTTGTCTTTTTATGGTATGGTTTGCTTGTGCAATTAAAAATACAGAATGAAAATGAAAGATGCTGCTGGGTCCCTAGAACCCGATGATTCAGGATGTTAACGTGCAGCAGGGCTCTGGCACAAGTTGCAAATGAAGAGACTTCTTGTTTACAGCGGCGACTTCCCTGGGAGAGGGATAAATCACAGCTAATCTGCACCCGCCAGAGAGGTGGCACGGGAAACGAGCTGCCTTCTGGCCCTCACACCGAGGGCCTTTGAAAGAAGACCCAGGCACCAGCTACAAGTCATGCCCTTTGTCTGAGTGTCTCTGACAAGCTCTCTCCAGAGCGTGCTGGCTCGAACCCTGACCCACCACCTCGTTTCCCAGAGCACCTCCAGGGCAGGTCACCTTTCCTGTCCAGATGGGCCTTGTTTTTTTATAAGTCAGAAGATAAAAATCGAAATTTACAGAAGACAAGTAAGGAGGGAGGTTTCATAAGTATTCTTGGCCTTAAAAAAGTGATCGTTATAGAAATTCACCAACAAAGCTCTCCTTGTGTCTTTTTAAAAATGTTTCCGAAAACCCTAAAGACTCCATCAACAATCTACTAGATTTAATAAACAAATTTGGCAAAGTAGCAGGATACAAAATTAACGTCAAGAAATCGACAGCATTCTTATACACCAACAATGAACTCACAGAAAGAGAAACTAAAAAAAAAAAATCCCTTTTACCATTGCAGCAAAAAAATTAAGATACCTAGGAATAAACTTAACCAAAGAAGTAAAGGACCTATTCACAGAAAACTACAGGTCATTGAAAAAAGAAACAGAGGAAGATATTAAAAACTAGACGCATATACCTTGTTCATGGATTGGAAGAACTAACATCATTAAAACGTTCATACTACCCAAAGCAATCTACAGATTCAATGCAATCAATCCCCATCAAAATACCAATAACATATTTCACAGAACTAGAACAAATACTCCAAAAGTTTATATGGAACCAAAAATGACCCTGAATAGCCACACCAACCTTGAGAAAGAACAAAGTAGGTGGGATCACAATACCGGATATCAGGTTATACTACAAAGCCACTGTAATCAAAACAGCCTGGTACTGGCACAAGAACAGGCATATAGATCAATGGAACAGAACAGAGAACCAGGACATTGACCCAAGATATTATGCTCAATTAATATTTGACAAAGGTGGCAAGAGCATACAATGGAATAAAGACATATGAAAAAATCTTCAACATTACTAATCATCACAGAGATTAAAACTATGGGGTATCACTTCACACCTGCCAGAATGGCTGCCTTCAATAAATCATCAAACAACAAGTTCTGGTGAGGGTGTGGAGAAAAGGGGACTCTAGTACACTGCTGGTGGGAATGCAGACTTGTGCAGCCACTGTGGAAAACACTATGGTGTTACTTCAAAAAATTAAAAATGGAACTGCCATTTGACCCAGTGATTCCACTTCTAGAATATACCCTAAGAAGCCTGAAACACCAATCAGAAAGACTATATGTACCCCTATGTTCACAGCAGCACTATTTACAATAGCTAAGATCTGGAAACAGCCCAAGTATTCCTCAATAGATGAGTGGATAAAAAAAGCTGTGGTACATACACACAATGAAATACTATGCAGCTATAAGAAAGAACGAGCTCTTATCCTTTGAGACGACATGGAGGGACCTGGAGAGTATTATGCTCAGCAAAACAAGCCAATCAGAGAAAGACAAGTATCACATGATCTCACTTATTTGTGGAATATAATGAACAAAACAAGGTGATGAACAAAATAGACCCAGAGACACAGAAGTAGGGTACAGACTGACAAACCTCAGAAGAGAGGGACGGGGCAGGAGGGAAGAGATAAACCACAGAACTTATTTGCATGTATGCGTAACCATGGACATGGACAACAATGCTGGGGGTGGTGCGGGACTGGGAGGAGGGTGTCAATGGGGGATAAAGGGGAAACGTCTGTAACAAAAAAAATTAAATTAAATTAAAAAATAATAAATTAAAAAAAATGTTTCCAACTTTTCTCAGGAGTCACTCTATTGTATAACTTGCTAAGTCTCTGCATTCAGTATCCTGCCAGCTAGCACGCATAAAGAAAAGGGGGACGATTACACAATCGGCCCAGCAGAACACCCCAGAACTATTTCTTTTTTTTCCCCAGAACTATTTCTGAGTCATCAGATTGGAACGGTGGCCTGGGCAAGCAGGCCAGGAGATGCCAGCAACGTCAAACAATCTATGCACTGACTTTGTTGTTGTTAATCCTCACCCGAGGATATTTTTTCCACTGATTTTTAGAGAGAGTGGAAGGAAGGGAGGGGATCAAACCTACAACCCAGGTACATGACCTTGACTGAGACTTGAACCCACAATCCCTCAGTGAGTGGGCCAACACTGTAAACCACTGAATGACACCGGCCAGGGCTATGCACTGACTTTATGCTCCCTTCTTATTATCTTTCCGTGGCTCCTGTCCACACCAAAAATTGGGGGGAAGGGATGCTAAACCATGAGGTACACTCCATTCCCAACACACTAGGCCCCTCTCCACTCAGTTTGGAGAACCTCTCTTTACGGCCTGGGGTCACGTATCACAGCATCAGAGATGGCTCATGTTTCCTTAAACATGTCCCAGTGGGTAAGTACTGTATTGGACTAAAGTCTGCATCGTGTGACAGCTTCAGCCCTCCGTCAGGCCTCGGGAAAATTCAACATGGAAAAACTCTCTCCCAAGTGAATGGCTCACCGAAGACCCCAGTCCCACCCTGGCGCAAAACACGCACCTCGAGCAAAATCGGCCAAACCCACTTCCCAGCTGCTCAAGCAGCACAGGAAGGACTCCCAAATGTGTGTCACTTGTACAATTAATGTTTTATGACACACAAAATAAATTTGAAAGTAAATTGTAAAAAAAATTTAAAAATTGTTTTATGAACAAATGATGTTTTATTGTTGTTGTTCCTTTTCAAACACCATGGGTCTCCTAAGACCTAATCCTGTGGCCAAAACCACTCCCGAGAGATTAAGTGCTCCCCCCAGGGCCCACCAAGCACATTTCGGACAAAAGCAGGCCCAGGTGTGCGTGTCGAGGGCACGAGAAATATGTGAGACCCACATTTCAAATGTTCCAGTAGCTATCTCAAAAAGGAAAAAGAAACAGATGAAACTATTCTATACTTCAATTAAGCCAATATACTCAAAGTATTATCACTTCACCACAGAGTCATGAATATCTCACATTCTTCCTTCTCACTGAGTCTTTGAATCCAGTGAGTAGTTGATACTCACAACACATCTCAATTTGGACGCTACAAAAAATTAGCTTTGCATACCCACATTGTTCCAAGCACACCAAGTTTTCCATTAACTGAACCGAGCGTCGCTTTTTAAATTTCAATTAAAAAATTCCTCAGTTACACTGGCCACATGTGCCCAGTGACTGTCATGCGCCCCGAGACCAGGGCCAAGGAGACTTGGTGGCTGTCAGTCCCCGAGGAAAGCCTAGCAAATGCATCTCCTTGGGGCAGCAGGGCCTCAGGGCGACGGGCCAGGCCCTCCATCTAGTGGGGACGTGAGGAGGTTGCTGACGAGTGGGCCCTCCCGCCTGGAACTGGGAACAGAAAGCCACTGTGGAGGCAGCGGCTGGCACTGGCCTGCTCAGCGGGCACCTGGTTACACCCCAGCCGGCCGCGTGGGGTGGGACTGAGTGAGGCGGCAGAGTGCAAGCCCAGTGGTGTGACTGAGCAGTTCCCAAACTGGGCACCTCCTGGTGCCACCCCGACCTTCACAAAGGCCACTGTCACATCCCCCAGCAGAGATGCAGCCTCTGTCTTGTCACCGATCCCTGTGGCCCTCCTGGAGACGCCCCTTCCCCGCGGGGGTGGGGGAGTTAAAACCTGTGACCCGGGTGGACTTTACACCAGGTCTGCTCTGAGATCCTAATCCAAGATGCTGGGAAGGCCCAGGCCCTCCTGTCCGTGAGTGAAACGGTACTAATGGCATTCTGGAGGATCCCACCCGTAACTGCTTTAAACACACCAAAGGAAAAGTCATGGAAATGGATCCGAGGGTGGATGTGTTTGGATTCTCAGCAGCAGGGGGCTGCAAAGGGTCTGTAACGTACACCACCCAGGCTGCACACCTGAATCAAGACCTTATCCATCCCAAGGTCTCTGCTGGGGCTGCCGTGATAAAAACAAGGCCCTACACGTGTGGGGTAAGGGGGGTGACAGGCCAGGACTCTCTGCAGCTGCTGGGTCCCAGAGGCGGCATCTGAGTCTGCACAGGGTGTCAACAAGCCAGCCAGCTGGCCACCATCGGATTCCCAGCTTCCTGATCTGGAGCCTCGGAGGGTGACAGGGGGAGCGCAGGGTGGCTGGGCTCGAGGCCGTGGCACTGGCTCTCAGGGGTCACCAGTAGAGAGTTCTAGGAACAGAAGCAGGACGGGGAGTGGGAGGAAGATACCCCTTCCTACTAGAATGGTCTCCGGACAAGCACAGATGTACTTGGTGGGGAAAAGCAAAGGACACAGAGGGGGCGCCCATGTTCCAGGCTTCGCAGGTGATCGAGCTCTGCTAGTGACAGGAAGGGCAACGGAGGAGGACAATGAGCCGATTCCAGAGGCCGCTGGTCCCATGCAAAACATACACCTGAAGACAACCGGGTGAGTGTCATGGATG